TCAAAGATTTGATTGGGCCGTGAGTGCGTGACACACAATTAGAATACTTATACATGTATATAGGAGTAGAAAAGTATCTATACTATTACCATACTTGAGCTGGAATGATGAGTCATAACATCACAGATTTATTATACCATCATACCATGACAAGAAAATGCCTGAAACTATAATCTGTATAACCAGTGTTGGTTTGACTAGATTACCCCCCCCCCCAAACACCCCTCCCCTCTCGCTCCAGTAGAGATATAGTATCTTATTATCTTATCTATGGACATATTGTAGATTGAGTTCAATTTTTTTTCTTCTGAAAAGTAGCTCTCATGACTCATTTATCACCTAGCATTTGCAGTATATATAAAAATTGGCAGTTCACTGACTCACTGTCTTCTTTATTTTAGTTGTTGCCTAAGAAAGTTTTCCAAATCTTACTACATACAAATGCTCACTTGCTTGTTTCTTTTCTGTGATACACTAGGGTATTGCAAAGATGGGCTGACCATGTGCTTCACACAGAGCACAATCTCTGGAGGTATGGCAATGGTTTTCTTCTTATCGTATATTGTCTGGAAAAAGTCATCACTTTTCTTAAAAAAAAACGATTACGTAAAGTGGGAATTTATTGTTAAAATCTTTTCCTTTTCTTAATCATGACGACCAGAGGTTGGGACCTTGTGACAACTAACTCCAAATGCAGGAAACATCTTATCTTTCTCATAGTGTCCTGCCTACAACTACATGAGCTAATACGCAGCTATGTTCATTTCAGGGCTCTGATTTTGTATGTTGCTGCTGGTGCATTTCGAGAAGCTTTAACTGCTCTTCGTGAAGCCCAACAACCAGACACAGCAGCCATGTTCGTTGTTACTTGTCGTGAAATTCATACTGATATTATTGCTAATATGGAGGACACAGAACAAGGGACTGAATCATCCAGTAAAGTCCAGCTTCCAATCTTGCCTGAGCTTAGTTTGGAAAATGAAGAAGTCATTGCCGCGTATGAGCTATATGGGCAGTATCAAAGAAAACTGGTCCATTTGTGCATGGATTCACAGCCTTTCTCGGACTGAACACTAAGAAGTTGGGCAACACTTAATTCTAAAAGTTTAGTGGCCTAAGCTAAACTGTAGATTAATTTAAGTAACAATTTATGTATTTATTTATTTATTTATTTTATATATAGCAAAAAAAATTAATACTCTCCACTAGAGTATTTTTGCAAAATTTTGTTGATACAAGTCTGTAGACTTAAATTAACGGTATTGGATCAAAAAAGGGTATTGGATCAAAAAGTCAAATTACTGACTTGATAATATTTTAAATTTCATTGAAATTGAAGTATTAACTTGGGTGAAAAAAAAAAAATAAATAAAAAAGCTTAAAATTTTAAATTTCACTTAATCTGAATGGTGAGAAACTTCTATGATATTAATGTGCATTTTGCCTTTATTACTAACAATTAAGTTCAGGTCAAAGGCAAAATGCACATTAAATCATAAAGTATCACCTCAATAAACAGAATTTCTCGTCTTCTCAACCTCATTTGGATGAGAAAATTGAACTTGAAGAAGTAATCACTCTAAGCTTTATCCTTTAAGATGATATGACAAATAAATTAAGGAAAAATGTAAACTAATAATCCCACCTTTACTCCATCTTCCATAAATAATCCCACCTTTTGAAATTCCAGAAACAATCCCACCTTTGACGGGGGTCTTCCACTAACAATCCATAACCGGTTAAATTATTTTGGTAACCGGTTTTTCTAGGTTATGAGACACGTGTCGACTTTGGTTTATTCTATTTTTTATTAAAAAAAAAAAAAAAAAAAAACTAACATTGTCGCACACCCCTCCATATCACTGTCGCAGCCGCCTCCCTTCCTCGGCAACCCAACCTAGGCGTCCGACTTAATCTCAACTTCTCAATGATCTCTTCGTATCTTCTTCTTCTCCTTCACTAACTTGAGGAAGGTGGCTGGGGTCGAGTTTTTCGAGGCTAGGGTTTGGGTTTTCAAGGATGGGTCGGGTTTTTAGGGGCTGGGGATGGAGTTTTCAGGCTTCAAAGCCCAAAATCGACCCTTGATATTTCTTTTAAATTATTTTTGGGGCTAATTTAGGGGCTGAATTGTGGGTGTGAATTGATGTTGCAGCTATTGAATTGGAGGTCCGGCGGTTGTAAGTGGGCTGCATTGGTGGCGCGTTGATGCGGCATTGTGAGGTGGGTTAGGCGGTGGTTTACCGGCTGTTGCAGAAGCTGGTTGCTTGTTGTGAGCTTCTGTTGCGAATTTGTTGTGAGAAAGGTGCGTGAGTCGTGGCTGGTGCAATGGCTGTTGGCTGCAGTAGTAGCGCGGCTGCTTTCGGTTGCCGCTGGTGGTGAAGTGGGAGAAGGGCAGCAGCATGTTGTTGGTGCTAGGTGAGGTGTCAATGTGGTGAGCAGGTAGGCTGGTATGGTGAGTGAAGGAGCTGCGTGGGTGGAATGGTGGTGGACTGGTGGTCCAAGGAGAAAGACTAAGAAAAATAATTATTAACCGGTTTAACAGGTTGTAGGTCAAAAGGATCATTAGTGGAAGATCCCTGTCAAAGGTGGGATTGTTTCTGAAATTTCAAAAGGTGGGATTATTTATGGAAGACGGGGTAAAGGTGGGATTATTAGTTTACAATTTTCCATAAATTAAACAAGATTTGATCTTAGATCTTTCCTTACAAAAAAAAAAAAATCTTGGATCTCGAGTACTATTCCAAAAACTTTATTAAACTAGGTTAGGTTAGTTGACATCACTACTTTAATATCCAACACATTTGGACAAAATTGATACAAACAATTAACAAAGTATGATACAAGTATAAAATGGAATCTCGTTAACCCATTCATGCTCATCACTAATTAAATGAGTCATTATAAATCTAGATTAGTGGGTAGAAATCACATTACATTAACATCGGCAGTAACCATAGCAATGCTTTGTTCTAATTATGTATCAAACTTATCATTTTCGTAAGTTATAAATCATCACCTTGTCGCTACCAAATCTGAGATCGTTTGACGTCTAGTTGTTCACTTGTTCCCAGTCCGTTCCCCGGCCAGCATGAAGCCTTTCACATTCAGATTAAAAACTCACGTGTTCATAGGTGATACATCTTAGGGTCATATAGTGAATGTTTGAAATCATATACGACCATCAGTCGGTTGATAAAAAAGCATGTGGTGACCTTTACTCATGAAAGAGGCATATACATAAACGACTAAACTTTCAGTTTAAAGGGGAAATAGATGGTCTAACCAGTAACCACCCAAATGGACTCTTGAGGTGCCATGGGTTTCGCAAGAACTACCTGACATCTTTCTTTTCCAATTTTGTAAAAGTAAAAAAGTGTCTAAAACTGAAGGTTATACATGTTTTTGAGATCTTAAAGACCTAATATCACAAACTCATGGAATCATCATAAGGTCATATAATGTTGTTTGGAATCATAAACACAACCACTAGTCAATCACATAAAGGCTCGTGGCGACTTTGAATCTTAAAAAGTCATAGCATAAAAAACTAAATTGATGGTTTAAAGGCAAAGTGAACAGTTCCAACCACTCAAATAATATCCCATAGAGTCATGGGTTCCATGTGGATCACCTTGCCCTCTTTTCTTTTTGACTCTTGGAAAAAATAAAAAAAATTGTCAAAAAGTAAATGTTATAATACATGAAATCAGATTAATTTTGAAGACTTCAAGACCTTATATTAAAAACTCTCGAAATCGTAAGGGACAAATCTCGATGACATATAATGAGGTTTGGAACCATATAGGCATATATGAACATTAGTCGACCATATAAAAGTGTGTGGTGGCCTTTGAGTCAATAAACAGTGGCGTTTACATAAATCACTAAATTGACATTTTTGAAGGCAAAGTGGACGTTTTGAAGCACCCAAATGACCTCCCGATGTGTCTTTGAATTCATAGGAAGCACTCCAAGATGTTTATTTCCATGTTCAAGAAAAATGGAAATTTGTACAAAATTAAAGGTTATAATACAACAAACTGGACCAATTTCAATGATTTTGGAACTTGATCGCAAAAACTCACAGGATCATAGAGAACTCATATAGGGGTCGTATAATGTTATTTGGAATCATATATGACCATTAGTCGATCACATAATTACTCATAGTAGTCCTAAATTAATGAAAAGATATGTATACATTAACGACTAAATTGTTAGTTTAAAGGCATAATAAACTAGTCTAACTACCCAAATGGACTCTTGAGATGTAGTGGGCTGCAGGGGAATCACCTTGGCTTTTTTTATTACCGGATTCGAAAAAGTAGAAAATCATCCAAAATTAAAGGCTATAATACACGAAATCAGACCAACTTCGAAGATTTCAAGACTCGGCATTGAAAACTCACTAAATCATAGGATCTGCATCCTAGGGTCATATGATGTTGTTTGGAGTCATATACGACCATTAGACGACCACTTAAAAGCCCATTGTGAACTTTTTTCGGAGTAAATGAAAAGGGGGGTATGCGTAAACAACTAAATTGACAATAAATGGGAAAAAGGTAAAGTTGAGGAAAAAGTCCTAAAAGACAGCACGAAAGGAAGGTCAAGGATTCAAGGGACATAAGTCAAGCTAAGAAGGTCAAAGAAAGATCATATGATAGAGCATTAAACTATAATCCGTTTGCAGAAGAATTTGAGAGAACGAAAGACAGCCACTCAAGAAGAGTAATTTGATGATCTAGAGTAGTTGCACTCAGGGTGAATATGCAACAGGGCACGCCGATTATCTAGAGCTATGGTAGAATGACCGCGACTGGATTTTATTGTCCAGTATTTGAAAAGGATCCATGATATTCTGGCTTTCCTAAATATAGAGGCATGATTTGGAAATAACACCACCACATTAGAGTTTCTCCAAAGTAACACTATAAACAAGAACTGGGTGCAGGAAAAATGTTGAGCTAACAAACTAACCTATATATGAGTGCATAATAGAGGCTCCGTCATATGACTAATACATAGAACAAATGCCAAAGCGTTACAAATTGAGCAAAATTACCTTGCTCGTTACACCCGGATGCATAATAAAGGCTCTTCGAGTTTGATACTAAACTCATGTTTTATTCACAAAAAGATGCACTCTTTTTTAAACCGTCAAAAGCATGTCCACAGCACATACATCAAAAGCATGTTGTATAAGTATCAATCCACAAACATTACAAGAAATACGCAAGCTATCAACAGCAGCATTGTTTGTACAGAAACATAATAGATTGTACCAAGCACAGCATACGAAATATGATAAAGCCGTAACTCTTGGCTAGCACAATTCTTCCCAGCTGCATAGCTCCTGTATTCACATCAGATACCAAATCTATGCATTAGCTACATTTTGCACAGACAATATAACAAGTTAAACAAATGGTTGACAAATTTTCATTTAAAGTATACGTAGTATTACTGTAAGATGTAATAGACCAATGCAGTTTGAACAATTCCTTGGAAAATAAAAAATTTCAGTATACTCCCACAGGAATAAATAGTCCCATATACTTCAGTACTTTAGTCCTGAGAAAGTTACCTTTTACATAACTTTGTATTTATTTAGTGATCAAATTTCCTAACACCCTTACTGGAGAGGATAGTAACACATAAAACGCGTAATTAAGTGAAATCAGGCTGAATTATTGATTGAATGGTTTGAGGAGGATGGAAGGAATACTTTACAACCACTGGGAACCTGGATGTTAAGCAACAGCTTTGAGTGAACATACAATAGATAGCAGCAGAAACTTACAGTGAGGGTATAGCTTCCATTGCTGATTCTGATTATCGCCTTTCCAGGGCTTGTATAGGGCAATAATTGTACCCTCATGGATTCCACCATGATCCTTGTCGCCATTGAAAGCATCCAAAACCAGGTGAACATTGTTCACCATCCTGATGGTTCTAAAACCAGAACCCAAATCCCTGCTCTCAGTCCACAGGACGGATTCGTCTAAAACATTGGGCTTGTATGGGACTAAATGCACCTGGACAAATCATTAAGATGAGAATCATGTGGTTAATGCTCAGGCCAAATTCTTTTAATTAAAAAATTAAAATAAATATACAATACTCATATTCAAAAAAATAACTGCATATAGCCAAAAACACTAGTTAAGTTGTGTGAATCAATTTTGATCAGGTAATATTTTAATTTCAGTAAATTTTGAGAGGAAAGTCCAAGGTTTGAGTACATTCATGTATTCAAATGCACAATACAGTGATCCTGTTTGCCAAGTAAAACAGATTTCGAATAAGTAATCATTCACAAAATATATTCTTTGGATTTGAAGATTCGGGTCTCCATTTGACCCACAAAAAGTCCCCACATTAGGTATGTTTGAAAACTATATGGAAGGGGTCATATAGGCCTTATATTCCAAGATCAATGACACAACCAAATTATTCTGTCCCACTACAAGGGAATATGCTAACAGGACTCCACACATTATATCATGGAAGGCAGCAAAGAGCAAAGCACAACGATTAACCATACTTTCTCGAGAATCAAACAACTTGGAAATTGACCCATTGCACAACTAGGGACCCTTTTCAGGATTGTAGGGAAGCATAATTACATACAAACACATACTCTTTAAAGGTTTATATGATCTCTTGCTGTTTGATATCAACATTGACTCTTTGAATCAGTAAAAAATGGAAATGAAATTTGGTATGCATGCACAAGTAAAGATATTCATCAAATTTAACAGACCTGAAAAACAGTTTCTACAAAGAAACTATGAACATAGGCAAAAAGTGGCGTAAATCATAACTTCCATTTGATTACACAACAAAAATTAGGATTTTACATTTTAAAAAAAAAAAAAAAAGGAACCACTTTATAATATCACAATTCGAAAGCAACAGAAAAGCCTTTGTCAATAATGATATACAACTATTAATATATTATTCATGTCGACAAGCAAGCCAAAAAGGTTGATATCAGGACCGTTTCTCTGTAGATATTTCCAAATCTTTTTTTTATGCCAGTCTCCACACATGACAGGTTCACAACTACAGAGGAAAGGAACACCCATTCTTCCTAGCCTATTGGACTATATACAGATGACAGTATGACACACACTAAGTTTCCACTAACTTAATACATATTATACTTCGTACATAGAGCAAATGTTAAAAATATCAGTATTAAGCTATGTCATATTGTCATGTACCAAAAAATTGTTGAAAATCTTGATTTACTGGTTCTAAATTATGCACATAAATGTAAATGGCACAAGAATCTGCAAAATACTCACCGGGTGAGCAGAGGCTGAATGTTTCAAAGCCTGCCCGGTCGATTTGTTCACCAATGCAAAACTTGGATAACCATCTTCATCCTTCACCTTGGTGCTAAACTTCTCATCCTTGTACCAGTGCTGTACCAGAAATAAAAATTCATACAACATCATACATTAAAATCTATAGTCCACATATCCCAAAAAACCGAGCATGATCAACGTCGAAACCAAAACACAAGGACAGATTATTCATCAACTTCTCCTGAACACAAAACTGAAATTTGACAATCCATTCAAACTCAAAACTCAATTAATTGTTTGATCAAACTATTACCTATAATTTGATTTCAAGAGGGTCGAGATTAGTCCATACCCAACAGCTACACAATCTATTCTAATTCTCAATTCCTCATCATCAACAATTTATACACAAGATAAATAGGCAAATTAAATCCATTAATATTATATACACATACAATCAAATACCCCTACAACTAAAATTATCAAAAACAAGCTCAAGATCACAATTCAAAAACAATAAAAATGCAACCAAATCCCTATAACAATAAAGATTAAAACTTTTCATCACCTAACCTAAAAATTAAATAAATACACATACTTTTTAACATAATAATTCCGTATGATCAAATCAAACAATTTACAACCCAATTTCACCAAAACAAAAATTAAAAAATCATGAAAATCACAAACCTGGGTAGGATCATTGGGATCAGAATAAGCAAGAACAACCTTGCCATCCCTAATAGCAACAGAATAAGTATCACCACCAGCTTTGCTATAAATCTTATAAGTTGGCTTATTCCTAAAATACCCCTCTAAATCACTCCCTTGATTAGACTCATACCCATGTCCATGACTACTCACATCACTTGGAGAATGATGAAAATGCTGAGCAATAAACCCAGGCATATGAGGCTTAAACCTATGCTCATCACCCCCACTTTCATGGTGTTGTTGCTCAGGTTCATTGTATGAAGATTGATGACCATATGAAGGGTAATTTGGGGATTCCAAGTGATGGGACCCACCATATTCATGATGAGATTGTGACCCAAATGAACCTGAACCCATTTGTGGTGGAGGGTAGTTTGGGGATTCCATGTGGGGGGTATGGGAGGTGTGATAAACTCCGGCGACCGGCGCCGGATGTGGGTATGATCCTCCGCCGGCGCCGGCACCGAAGCCGCCGCCATAGCCTCCGTAAGACGGCGGCGGAGGAGGGTAAGTTTGGGGGTGAGGGTGAGAAAAAGGGGCTCCAAAAGGAGGTTGAGAAGGAGGTGGGTAAGGTGGCCGGGAAAACTCGTCGGAGTTCTCTTCATAACGGCCAGGGTGGTGGTGGTTGCGGTGGGGGTAATCCATTTTTTTTATTTGAAAATTGAGAAATGAGAAGGAAAATGTATGAAATGTTGGTGTATTTTTATTGGGTTTTTATTCTAAGTTGTGATGAATAATGGAATAATTGAATAAAGGAATGATTGTAATTGTTAATTTATTGGTTTAATTAAAATAAAATAAAATTTGTTTTTTTTTTTATTATTATTATTAATTTTTGGGAGGGGGTGTGAATGTGTGATGATGATTGGGTATTTGGATTTTTATATGAGGTTGCACCAAACTTATATTAGTAGTTCAACTATAAACAAGAGATATCAACAAATGAAACAACCAAAATGTTTAACTTGTGAGTTGTGTGATAAGGTCATATTTGACTAAACTGTAATGGAATTTGAAGTGTAAGAGTTGTTTATTTTCCCTTATTTTAGAAATTTTTATTTATTACATGTCAAATCAGGTTAGATAAACTAATGCAAAAAAAATAAGATAATATGAATTCTATTAGATTAAAAAAAAAACAGATTAAATGAAAATAAATCAAGATAATAAAATCAGATCAAATACAATGAAATCAAACTAGATAACAAAATCATATACTATCATATAACTAATATATAAAGCTAAACTTTTAGCCAGGCGACGAGATAGCGACACTTGGCGCTCCAATTTTTCGCCAAGTGTCGCGCCACGTAGGAAAGAGTTATATAGAATTCAATTTGTAGGATAAAAAATTTAACAAAAAGTTTTACATACAACAGGTGTGCAGTAAAATACTGAACAACCGGTTTTTCGCACGTGTGAACAGTAAATTTTTTTTTTTTCCTTTTTCCAAAATAACTAACATCTTCTTCAGCAAACAACAATGGAGGAGAGAGAAAACTCCAATTTTCCAGATTCAAAGCTCCTTCACCAAGCAACCATGGAGGAGAGAGAAATCTACAATTTTCGATCAACAATGCCGGAAACCTCCAAAGCTTACAATTACGAAAACCTAATGCGCGAATTTCTGCAATTACAAAGAGAAAATCGACCACCATTAACGCAACATCCAGAGAAAACATGGAGTTTCGACCTCAATCAAACATTCAGAGAAGGTGAAGCAGAGAATTTCGTTGATGATTTCGATGAATTTAATGATGATAACATTCAAAACTCAAAAGTTCCAGAAATTCAAATACAAGGTAATAATCTAAAAAAATACTAACCTATTGTTTGTTTTTGCTTAAAATTTTGATTTAATTTTCAATAATTAATGCAGATATTGAAAATCAAGGTGTTTCAAATACATTAGAAGATGAAGATCAAGTTATTCCGAACACACTAGATGAAGAAGGACAACCAGTAGATGAAGACGAAGGTAAAATTCTATAAATGTGACATATATTAAGGCAAAAGTTACATATATTATGGCAAAAGTTACATTGACTATATGTTTATTTATAAAAGCATTTATGCATGTCTCTTGGTACAAAAGTTACTAATATCATTACAAATGTTACCTTTATTAATACAGAAGTTACTTGTATTATATACCTCTGTACTAAATAACTTATTCTTTATGCATATGCTTAAGTGAATAACCCTATGCTCCCATGTTCTCATGCCTCTAGGTACTTGCTTGTGATTTTGTTCATGCTGTAATTGTGATTTTGGTTACAATTGTTACAAGAAAATGCTAAATATCTCTTATTCTACTAATGCACAGATACAAATCCAAAACCAATAGATACCACTGGTTTAGATATGGAAGGATCATTAGTTGGAGTGGAAAGAGACACTTATCAAGAAATTTATGACTTGTACAGTCTACATGCTTCTACAGTGGAATTTTCAATAAGAAAGCATACAACAAGGTATCGCTTACACACATGTATAGTCACAGAGAAGTACTATGTGTGTTCTGCGGAAGGAAAAAGACATACTGCTGCAAAGAAGACAAATATGGTTCTAATGGTTGATGAAGATAACAAGGATTTAAAACAAAGAAAACCATGTCAAGTCTCCATTACAAGAACTAACTGCAAGGCAAGCCTAAGAACAAAAATGAATGATGATGGAAAATTTAAGGTGGTGTCACATGTGTTACAGCATAATCATGAACTAACTAGAAAGCAGTGGCATTATTTGCATCGATCTGAGAGAGAAGTAACAATAGAAAAGGCAGAAGCAATTAAAACAATGAAATCTGCTGGACTTTCAACAATGGACACATATAATTACATGTGTACAGAAGCTAATGGAGAAGAAAACTTGGGGCATAGTGTTATAGATCACCTCAATTTCTGCTCAAGACTAAGAATGGAACAAATAGAGGCTGGAGATGCTCAGACATTAGTGAATATTCTGATCGAAGAACAAAAAGAAGATCCTAACTTCTATTTTAGAGTGAAATTCGACAAAGAAGGTAGAATTTCCAACATTTTTTGGAGAGATGCAATGATGTTAGAGGATTACAAAATATACGGAGATGTTCTTGTATTTGATACAACATACAGAACAAATCGGTATAACCTTATATGTGCTCCTTTTGTTGGAATAGATAACCATTGGAAAAATTGTATGTTTGCATGTGCTTTCATAGACAATGAAAAAACAGAGTCGTTTGTGTGGTTGCTTGAAACCTTTAAAAAATCTATGGAGAATAGAATTCCAACCTCCATATTCACTGACCAAGACCAAGCTATGGCTACTGCAATTGAGCAGGTACTTCTTTTTCTATTACAATATCATATTCACTGATTCCACTCTCATTTTAAGTCATTTTTGTGTTCATAACTTTTATGAATATAAGTATCACTTTTGTGAGTATAAATGTTACTTTTGTGAGTAAAAATATCACTGTTAGGCTATGCATATGGCACTTAGAACAAAATGCAATAACACGATTTGGAGCCCTTAAAAGGGATAATGAGTTTAAAAAAATATTCAACAAATGCTTGAAGGGATGTGTGACAGAAACAGAATTTGAAGAAAGATGGAAAGAAATGATACAAAAATTTGATTTGGTTAATCATGCATGGTACCAAAGGGTGTACAATCTAAAGGAAAAGTGGTGTCCAGCATTTAGTAAAGATTTCTTCTCGGCAGGAATTCTTTCATCACAAAGAAGTGAAAGTACGAACCATGCAGTAGGATTCAGAGCTAATAAATCAACAACACTGACAGAATTCTATAGAATTTTTGTAAGAACCATAAAAAGATGGAGAAGTGATGAGAAGTATAATGAGTTTACCTGTAGCAAATCAATAGCCTTTACTTCATTGCCACTATCCGGAATGCTAAAGCATGCTGCTCAGGTAATTCTATATTCCTTTATTACATATATCTAAGAACTGAAAATAAACAATATAAGCAAATATAAAAATGATACATGCAAAGGAACATGACTGGTAGTAAGTTATTTCTCTAATGTACAGGTTTACACATTGTCTCTATTTAGAGACTTTGAAGAGGAATTTGGCTACTCAATGGCGACCACAGTACAAATTCTAGGGAGAACTGAAGAAAACATTATTCTTTATGAAGTATCGCTAGAAGAAAAGTCATGGTCTTCCCAACAGGTAAGTTACATACATGAGAGCCAAACTATATGGTGCACTTGCAAGAATTTCGAAGCTTCTGGTTGGCTATGCTATCACTGCCTCAGAATTTTACATCTACATTCTATTACAAGAATTCCAGAGAAGTACATTAGCAAAAGATGGACAAAGCTTGCAAAAACTGAAGTATGGAATAGAATGGAAAATAAGGATCCAAAACTCCCATATACACCATGGAGACATACAATGATGAGAAAATATTATAACTTAATCTTAAAGAGTCAAGAAAATGAAAAGGCAAGAGCATTCATGGAGGAAAACTTCAAAAACTGTATGAAAATGGTGGAAGACTTACTTGTGGCCGAAGCTTTTACAGAGGAGGTTGCTGCAAGTGATGACAATTCTAATGTGGCAGAGAGTGCTCAGAGTACTAATAATACTGCTTCTTCATCAACAAGTACAACCATACCCATTATATTAGACCCTAAGAGAGCTGTAACAAAGGGAAGAAGCAAGAGAGCAAAAGGAGCACTTGAAAAAGGGAAGAAATCAAAGCAAAAAGCATTACCAGATCCAAATTCAGAGTTTGGATCGAAGACACCTACTCTGCGACTTTTTTGAACTTGTAGTGAGTTTGGATCAAACACAATTGAATACTTTTTTGTAGTGATTTTATTTTTGTTTAATGCTACTATTGACTTTCATACAGAATTTTGAATTGTGATATGGAATTGCTCATGAACTATGAACATTTATATAATATTACACTGATACTTAAAAAAGTAATGCATATACTGGCAAAAGTGATGCATATATTGGCAAAAATGATGAATTTACTAACAAAAGTGACACTAACACTTACAAAAGTGATGCATTTACAGAAAAGTAACACTAATACTCGCAAAAGTAACAATAATGCTCACAAAAGTGATGCATCTTCTCACAAAAGTGTTACTTTTTACTCACAAAAGTATTGCATATTCACAAAAGAAATATGTCACTCACAAAAGTGATATTTATATTCACAAAAGTGACAATAATTATCACAAAAGTGTCCGTTTTTAAAATTAATAACATGGTAATATATATGTTAAACTTCAAGTTTTCATTTAAATCAACTATATCTCTGTATGATGATATATGATACACTTATAAAATTATAATCAGAAATAAAAATAAATAAAAATAAGAACAACAGATTACCAATATTTAATCATATATATATAAAATAAAATTTGTACAAACATTTTGAAAATATTAACACTAGTTTAAGTGTCGATATTTATCACTAGTTTCAACTTCCAAAAGTACTTAACTAATTACAACTTCCAAAAGTACTTAACTAATAACAACTTCCAAAATTAGCTAAGATTTAGAAGGAGTGTACTTCCGTGTAGCCTTTGTAGTTCGTTTTGATTTCGGAGCAGTGTCAACAGTAGGAGGAGCAGTTTCAGATTTCTTCTTTTTCTTCTCCGCTGCTGCAGCCTTCCTCCTTCCTTCAATTTCAGCAACATATGCAAGATCGCTCTTCTTCTCATTAAATTTTTCAACTTCTGCTAAGATATCAAATCTTGATTCGTTCATGTCAGACAACACGAGTTTTGCACAAATCTTAGCACGTAAAAATTTCCTCCTAGCAGCCTCACAAC